AACCCTAAACCATACACCCGAAACCCTAAGCTCTAAACCCTAAACCCTAAACCCGAAACCCTAAACCCTAAACCCTAAACCCGAACCCTTAAATCCTAAGCTCTAAACCCTAAAGGTTGTTGAACAGCACGCTCTCCAGGTGACCAACTTGGCACCGGTGCTCGGCCATCCGGTGGCATTTGGCGTTCCTTTGGTAGGGTTTTAGGGTTTAGGGTTTGAGGTTTAAGGTTTAGGGTTTAGGGTTGCCTCGCTTAGGTTTGGGGCCTAGGGTTTAGGGCTGAGGGTCCAGCGTTGCGGGCTATGCGTGGGTTCTTGACTGTTTATCCCGCTAACATGTAGCTTCTGGCTCTGCTGGAGCATTGTAGGATCCCTCGCGCGGTATTCAGGTGATTTACTTGAATGTGGAAAGTTGTCATGCATGTGCATGTTCACATGTCGCATGTACATTGTACATATACCGCTTGTCTAAACAGTGCGCGCACATGCACGCCCCCGCCCCCACCCTTTACCCTAAACCCTAAACCCTAAACCCTAAACTCCGGACCCTGAACCCTGAACCCCAAACTAAACCCTCAGGAATCTGCTAAATCCTGAAACCTGCCTGTCAAAGCAATTCAGTTCGGTGGAGGTGACCGGCTCTTCGGCGGCCACGCCGAGGTGCCTTCGTGATTCCTTGTGCTTTGAGGGTTTTGGGGGGAGTGCGCACTTCGGGTTGATGGTGAGGGCTAGAGTTGGAGTTCAGGTATAGACTTTGGGAGCAGAGATTCAGAAATAGTGGCTTTAATGATGAGAGTAGGGCCAGCCTGTTTTCGTATAGTCTTCTTCTACAACGGCTACAGGCCGATAGTGCTTTTTTTTGGGAGGCCCAGAGCATGCCTGCTTTATTACTAGGTCTTCGGTTTTTATGTGACACCGAGGTACGCATCAGCTACAGGGCTACACCCTAAACCCGGAAGGTGTAGATTTCGTGCCAGCTGCTAAGGAAGTCCTGAACCCTAAACCCTAAA